ATTCATCAGGCAACCTAGAAAACTCAATCCCCAAATAATAATTTACATTTTTCGTATCCGTAATTTCAAAAGATTTTCTTAAGTCGCCAAAAAGTTTATCTATCAAAAATTCTTTAGTAACAGCAATAAGACCATCATCAACAAAAATAACTAACAAAACACGCTCACATCCCTTAGTATAAACATACAAACAAGGATCAGCAGTGCTCCGAATAAAACCGAGTTCCCCAATAAAATTTGCAAAATGCTCAGACCAGCATCTCGGAGCCTACTTCAATCCATATAAACTTTTCAATAAACGACATACGCGTTGACTTCCGTCTTGAAAACCATCTGGTTGTTTCATAAATATTTCCCCATCTAACTCTCCATGTAAAAATGCAGTTTTAACATCGAACTGCCCTAATTTTAATCTCTCGAGCGCGGCTACACTTACCACAAAACGCACGGTATCAAAACGTGCAACAGGTCTAAAATTTTCATCATAATCAATGCCCTCCCTCTGAGAGTACCCTTTCGTAACTAACCGCGCTTTATAACGTTCCGAAACGTTCGCGCCCGTTTTCTTAGTAAAAACCCAGCGGCTGCTCAGCACTTTTCTGTCTTTAGGTGCATCAACTAAAACCCACGTCTTATTATTATGTAGTGATTCAATCTCATCCCTCATCGCGGCGACCCATTTATCTTTATCTTTTGAGATCTTTATCTCCTAAAAGCTAGAAGGTAACGCCTCCGCCAAGTAACTTATCGGACAGCCATAAAAATCGGTTCGCTTAATTTCGTTCCTGCTGCGTAGCTGACGCCCTTCTCCACGTACGTTTTCCGATTTTTTTAGAACAATATTATCAGTAGCCTTAATTGAATCATTTGCAACGTCATTTTTAGTTAAGTTATCATCGTTATTTGTGTCATCCACGGCATCATTTTTATCGATTTTAATCACGCTTCGATTCTCAGAAACATCGTTAAGATCCCCAACGACTCCGACATCATGACAAACTTTTTCGGGTTTAAACGTAACATCGCTAACTACTACATCTCGCCGTGCTGGTATATAAACTCGATATCCCATATTATTATCTTGATAACCCACTACGTACCCCTTTTCGGCTTTGCTATCTAGCTTTAGGCGTTTCTCCTTCGGCACATGTACAAAACACTCCGTCCCAAAAATTCGCAAATTTCCAATTTCCGGTGCTTTTCCAAACCATAACTCATACGGAGTTTTCCCTTCCTGTTTCTTTGGACCGGTCCGATTAATTACGTATACTGCAGTCCCTTTTGCCTCAGCCCACAAAAATTTCGGTAATTCCAGATTGGAATATAGCATCGACCGCGCGGCCTCAACGATTATACGATTATCTCGTTCCGCGACAGCATTATGCTCCGGTGTGTATGGAGCGTTTATAGAAAATTTTATCCCTTTACTGTTTAAGTATGCAATAATCTGACCGTTGTCGAACTCCTTTCCACCATCAGTGTGTAGCTCCTTAATTTTATACGCAAAACGATTCTCGGTTTCAGCACAAAAAATTTTTAATTTGTCAAAAACTTCAGATTTTTGCTTAATAAAATAAATCACCCGAAAGCCAGAAAAATCGTCCTTAAAGTCCACGAAATACCGTTTTCTACCGAGCGATTCTATCTCCATCGGTCCGCAAACATCAGAGTAAATAAGTTCCGGTACCCTCGTTGCCCTTTCAACCTTTTTATGAAAAGGTAAACGATGCATTTTCCCATAGATACAGCCCTCGCATACAAAATCATCGGACGAAAAATTTTTAATTTTATTCTTTAAAAATAATTTTACATGCTTCACTCCTTGGTGACATAAACGCTCATGCCAAACACGCAAACTATCGCCCTTTGAAACTAAATTACTCATTTTTGCAAAAACAACATTAATATTCAATTTAAGTAAATTTCCATATTCGGATCCCGTAAGTACAATCTCATTACCGCGCATTAAAAAAACAATTAGTACCATTATTTTTCATACAGAAATCAGTGCCCTTTTTCCCGGAAGCTTTTATAGAAAACAAGTTATGAATTATATCAGGTAAAAACAAAACATCATACATCGTTCCCGAAATACGCTTACCATTCAAATAGCTCTCAAAAACAATATTACCTCTACCATACGCTACCATATAACTACCATTGCACATGCTGATCTTGACCGGCGTGGTGAACTCCTCGTACGTCGAAAACCAATCACGCCTCTTCGTCATGTGGTCGGTGGCACCAGAATCGATCACCCAAACGTCGTTTTGGCTGCAGTCCCTGCTCCCCATCAAAGCCACTTTACCAGCAAAATCTTGCGCCAAGCTCGTTGATTCGTTGTTCCCAGCATAATTTGATGACCGATTTGCAGACACTTGATCCTTTTTATCGCAGTTGTAGCTTTTGTGCCCCTTACGTTTACATGTGTAGCAGCGGAAACAATCCTTTTTATAATGACCCGGCTTACCGCAGTTGTAACACGTAATCTTCTTTTCTTCTGGTTTACTTTTAAATTGCTGATTCTTCTCACCCTTAACTTGAGAATTTGCGATCATAGCGGCTGATTTTCTTGAGTTTTCTTGAGGGGACATTCGTAGCTCCTTTGCCATGAGACGAGCGGTTAAATTTTCAAACGTTTTCATTTTTCCATCCACGGAGTCCCAAGCACTATGAAAATGATTGTACTTCTTGGGTAAACTTGAGAGGACCCGTGTAATAATCATACTCTCCTTTACTTCACTGTCTAGTGCCTTCAATTTTGCCGCTAACTGTTCAATTTTTGCTAGATTATGCACAACACTTTCATTTTCAGCCCATTCAAAATGAAAAAACTGCTTTTGAACAAGCCCTAAATTTTCATTTGGCTTGTTATCATAAACGGTGCACAACTTTTTCCACATATCGTGAGCCGTCGTGAGACTCATGATCAGTTCCATTGGTTTACTTTCTATAGTTGTCACAATTAACTTTCTAGCAGTCTTATCTGCCTTATTCCACGCTGCCAAACCCGCTTGATTAAAATCAGTATCGTCAGGCTTTTTCCTAGTGCCTTCACACACTGCCAGCACTAAATCGTCGTCTTCCAGTAAGGTTCGCACGACAAACTGCCATTGCTGCCAGTTATTTTTATCTCGCAACTTTTGAATTTTGAAATTAGATTCCATTTTTAAATTTTATTTATCACTTTTCACAAATTACACCTTTTTCACTACACCACACTCTGGGCCCATAAAATGTTAAGGTTTATCCAGATAGAAATACTTATGTAGATGCAGGAACCAAACAAGAACTTTATTTTTAATGTAATAGAGTAAATACAGTAAAAGCAGAAATGTACAAATGTGAAAAGGACCCCTCCGATGCGTACAACTCTAGGCTCGGTTCTCATCTGAACCAGGTAGTCGATTTTTGATTTACCTGCACCATGCACAAATACATAAATGCGTTACCCCTTAAGAGTTTCTAACTCCGCCTATTTACTACAATTCAGGTGTACATATGAATATTATGAATCAATTAAAACTAAATAAGGATCAGAGAACTCACTTGAAAATAGCATATTTTCTTAACAATAGGGAACACGTATTGCTTAATAATGTTATTGATGAAATTTGACCGCAATGAGCGTATTGCAAACTTTTTGGGTCATTTGACTCGAAAAAGAAACATTCAAATATTCCACGAAACCTTATTTTTTCTAATTTTATACACTTACACTTTTTGTAAAGTTTTTTAATTAAATTTTCAGCTTAGCCGCAATGAGCATATTGCGTAGCTTTTGGGTCACCCTGTATGTAAAATCGTTGACCTAACAGAGTTTTCAACGGTCTGATAAGATTGTGAGCTTATGTATATTTTCTAATACACGTGTGGGCTGTATTTGTTTACCTGTTCAAATATTTAAAAATGTATGTTTCATGGAGTACCCAGCAGACTTTAATTACTACGAAGGTTTAAATGTACGTTACTGTTTACGGTTCGAAATTATCAAGGTGCAGAATTAGCTTTGCTAGTAATTTAACGTCTTAAATCTTGACTTTATTGAGAAAAGAAAATTAATAAAATACCACAACTTACCTGTTTTGTGTGTACATCAGATAATACAATTTATTAAAGAAGTACATTTTAAATTAAATCAATATAAATGCAGAGAAAGTCATTCCGGGAACGCGTCATCGTGAACATCGATAACCGAACGAAAATAGTTTTGCTAAATATTCCAACGATCTAACCTATTTCATAATTTAAATCTATTTAAATCTATCTATTCTATTAATTTATTGTTATTCATTTATCGTACGTAGTTTATGTGTTGTATAACAATAAACTGTATCTATATACATATTTAGTTAAAACAGACAATCACTTTAATTTAAATCTACTTACACGCACCTAAACCATCACAAAAAATACTTTATGATCATTTGTGTTTACGTGAATAAGCAACCGATTTTTTGGCATACTGAACAACGTCTTCCTGCGATACTTTTCGATTGAATCCATATTTAACAGTACTACCTTTAAAACGGAACATTTTTTCTATTTTCCAATACTGTATAGAAGTAATACAAATCAAGATGTTACACACGATCTCGTCTTTATATACGGAGCAAGTTTTAATAAAGAAAATTTTTACATAAAACTTATAATTTGGCCACAATGAACATATTACGTACTTCTTGGGTCANAAAGGGTGGTGTATTATTTTGTTTTGCCTTTTCACTTGTATCAGTTCTTTTCGGTTCCTTTGTTTTATATATACATCCATTATTGTACAACTTGTAGATTAGATAATGATACACGTGTGTTCTTCAGGTATTCGATAGTTATATTTTGTTTTATTTTTTCTATTCGTTTGTCAAATTTATATAGGTAATCTTTCCTCTTTTACCATCTAAACTGAGAAATAATCTATCTGTTACGTAATTGTTATAATAACCGTTTCGAGTGTACGAATTGTGTTGGTATATTAAGATTGGAAATAAAAAATAAAAGAAATTAAGAAAAAACAAGTAGGTACCCTATTCTAGTATTACATATACATATGTAATAAGTTTGTTATAAATGGTTAGTAAATCCAAATTAATGTAGCTAACTTCTTGTATTAGATAATTGTTATTTGGAATCTGTAATTTTTGTAGAATTTGCTTTCTATCCAATCTAACAAGCTCCAGAGCTTACAATTCTGTAATCTGCAAAAAAAATTAAGCTTTTATTTTAGTAGTTACACAAATACGAATTGGTTTGCTTTTGTTTTACGATTGTATTTTAATTCTTGACGGTCATTTCAGTCTTTATACTATTTTCATACTAATATTACTATAATATAGATTTTGCTCTTAAAAACTAAATACTCATCGATGGTAGATTTTAGGAATAAAATAAGAACATTCAATATTTCTTGGCAATCAAAGAGCTCTAACTTTATTCCTTTATTACAATGGTCGGAAAAACAAGTAGTCTTAGCTTTGTAGCAGTTGTAGATTTTTTATGTTCATTTAAGCTGAATTGCAAGTCTCTGCCAGTTTGACCAATATATCTTTACTTTCATTTTTCTTAGTAAATCCATCTTATCCTGATCATTTACAAATAGCGTGTTTAAATTTAACTTGGGAACGGTGATTGTGTAAATTAACATACATATATAATAATTTTTTTGACTGCTTACAAGTGTGTTAAAATTGATAAATTAATATTTTTTATCGTCTTTTGTATTTGAAAAAGTACAAAAAATACAATTGTGAAACACACCGTTCCCTTTTCTTATGCATATTCACTTAGTTTGTTTTCGTTTTAATACTCACTTTGACCTTCCTCACAATTGATTGAGTCCACAAAGCAAGAATTTGGGAAAGTTTTTCTGTTGCCTCTTCCATTAACGGCACAAACAGGTTGGCGGTTCTGAGCCGAACAATTCGGGCAATCCTGGGCATAACTCCAGGACAGAGCCACCAAGGTGACTTAGTAAAATAAAGTAAAATTATTTCATTACAGGCACATTAGGCAGAAACGACAAAAAAAATAAATAATTGGATTACCTAAAAGTAATGTGAAAATAATTTTCATGTTGCTTCTTGATCAGGAAAGACGTATAATAATAAAATAACAAAGGTTTTCCTAGTTTATATATTCCAATTGAAGCACTCAAGCTGTTTTGAACTGATAATTATAACAATAGCGCGAGCTATCTGGAGTGATTTTGTTTACACTTGACTTGATAATATCTTAAAGCTGATAAAATACTCAGTTACAGAGTGTAGGTTAAATTAAAAAAAAAGCCGTACACCAAATAATGCTTTTTCGACGCATTCTTAGCTTCGAAAGCCGGCCTTTTTACATATTAGGGTAATTACTTTCCAAAATAATTCGTTTTAGTCTCATTGTTCTGCTATTTTGAATGCATTTTATTATTACCAATTAACTTAGAGGAGACTTTTTACTCCCATCTACTTCTAACTTGTGCCTGTTATCAATGTAATTCAGTTACGAATTTGTAAAAAAAAAACACGTAAATTATATCTACTAGATTACATAATAATTTTATAAGAAGAGATTGTACATGTGACCATACAATAAAATACACATTCGAAAATAATTTAATTTATCGTCATTTGATCGCACACAAACACTCAGACGCATGTACACAAAATATCTGATTATGTATTATAATATTTATAATTTACATGTTTTATATTTAAAAACGTTGTCATGTTTAATGTTGAACAGATTGTATTTTTCTATGCACTTTATGATAACTGCGTTATTAATTTTTTATTGCAATGGTTACCATCATTTATTTGATTTTCGTTAACGACAACATCATGAAAGACATTGTTAGTAGAAGTTGTTTCCTGTACAGAACTATTTTGCGACAACACTTTAGTTTATAATTCTTTAGATTTCATATTATGAGTGGTTATTTGCATTGTATTTGTACTTGCATTTATTAAACCAGAATAAAAAGTTACAATGCAAAAACCCTAAAAGTGATTCTAGTCACCTGTACATAGGTAGAATTACATCATAACTCCTATAAAAGGTAATAAGATAACCTGTGCATAGGCCGGTATTCTTACAAACTAAGACACAATTTACTTACATACTGAAAAATAGCTTTAGCTAATAAAACAAATATACAATTATACATAGGGTCAACGAAAAAAGAAGGGTGAATACTTTGAAAAATGGAAAGGAAATTAAACAAATTATTGTTCATAATTTTGAGATCGTTCGTCAAATTATTATAAATTTTTATGGCAACAAAATGACAGTTTTTGGTACTTAACATTTTTCTTGATGTTTGGTAATTGTATGCTTTTATTCCTAGTTCTAAATATACCATTTGTGTATATTTCTTTCAAAGTTTGATAATGATATGATATAGCTTCTACCTGAAATAGTTGCGTTACATTGAGCGGCGAAGGATTTGCTAAAGATTTATTTTTGTTTATTTTTTCAAAATTCTGCGTTCTGTGTTTTTTATTGAAATAAGGGTATTATCATAAGCAATTATTCCATACTGTAAAAGGCTTTGGAAAAAAGCATAATAAATTATCATCAAAGTTTTAGTATCCATGAGATGTTCAATCTTAGCAAAGATAAGTATTAAATATTTAGTCTTTTTAATTATATAATTAATATGTTTATCTCACTTCATCTTATAATCTATATCAATTCCTAAGCACTTGTGGGACTCCACCCTTTTTATCACTTGGTTTTTTATATTAATACTTAAAGTATCAAGTACACTATCACAATAGTTGCCGAAAGTCATATTGTATATCACTAAATAAGTCATGAAAAATAGAGGTGCTAGGATCGTTCCTTGCGGGACTCCTGTTGTTATTACTTTATATTCTCTAAAGCAGTCACTAATTTTAACCTTTTCTTTCCTATCAGAGAGATACCTTTTGAAGAGTTTTAGAGTGGAGCCTCTTATGCCATATCTTTCAAGCTTCACAAGTAGAATTTTATGGTTTACCGTGTCGAAAACCTTGGCTAAATCCAAGAAAACTACTATTAGTGGTTTACTCGTATCCAAATTTCTATAGATGATGTTAAATAAATAGTTTAATGCATCAGTAGCCCCAATATGCTTGACAAAACCAAATTGTGTATCCGAAATTGTTTTACATTTTTTTAGGAGGAAAATGTTAGCAATATTTGATACAGGTGATATAGGTCTGTAGTTAGATGTACATACTGTTGATTGTTGCGGGTGTGTTGCTGGCCTAGATTTTTTCCTAAGGAACCCTTGAACCCTCTTCTATAAAAATTAATTTAGCCAAGTCTATTTTTTAGGATATAACGGCCGAATATTTTCTGTGGTCTCCTTGGAACAGTACGATCAATAAATGACTTACCTAGTTTAGTGTTAATTATATTCTATAATTTTCTCTAATTGTTGCTCTTTTGCATTATCATTTCTTTTTCATATATAAATTTTGCATTTTTTATATTTTTGTCTAGTATTTTGCTATAATTTTTATATTCACTTTTCAAAGTTTTATTTGTGGGTTCTTTTTTCCATAAAGTGTATATTGTCTCTTTAGTTCTGCATGATTGAATAATTCCACTTGTAATCCAAATTTTTTTCGGATTTAGTTTTTTACTTTTACTTTTGGCATTTTATGTTTTTTTGAACAGTTGCACGAAAAGCTCATATTTTATCATTACAATAACACTGTCTATTACTATGTTGGGGTCAGACATGGATAATATTTTATTCCAATTTGTGCTATTTGCAAGATGGGAAAGTTTATTATAATTTACATATTCGTGAAATGTTATGTTAATCTCTTTAGTTTTTAATTTATCTACTACAACCAGTAAAGGATAATGGTCGTTGAAAGGATTCGTTATTTTGTAAGCCTTGAATTTAATATTATGGGATTTCGTAAAGAAATCATTAATACAAGTTCCACCATCATTATTATGAATCAAGAGCCTTATTATATCTAGGAAACATGAAATCTATTTATATTCTAAAAAATTATTCCGAAATTCTTAGAAAGCATATTGATAATTCTTATCAAATTTCATAAAATTTTTATCCAAAATATCTATGTTAAAGTCGCCTATAATGCAGTCATTTTTGGTATTTTCTGGCTTTTTTAGTTTTTTTTTGAGACTATTTACAAATTCGAGTTAATACTCGATCAAATATTCATACTTTGTATCTTGATCCATGGTTAGATTGAGTCGTTTCGTCTGTTTGTAATATTTGCGTTGATTGTGTGATGAGGCTGATAATCCACGTGTCATTGATGTCACCACTTTTTGTCGGTGATTATCTACCTTACTGATATGTCTCGGTATAGTAGGCATTACACTGTAGTCCCTAGTGTCAATGAACTTCTGAATTTTCTTTTTAGTATTGCGCATTTGTGTCTGTCAGTTGGCACGTGGTTAGTTTTATAGTTTGTGTTATAAGTCACACTACTAAAGACACAGTTTACATACTTTGTTTCACTAGGGTTATTGCACTCACTTGTTTTATGTTGCTCAGCACATTTGAAACATGAGGAAATGTTACGAACGTTCTTTTTTTCTATTGTGCCCAAACCTCCCACAATTGTAGCAAGGCTTAACACTTATTAAGTCAAAAATTCTGCAGTTTTGATATCCAACAAAAAATTGTTCTCTATTATGTGTTGGTAAATTTCCGCTGGCGTTTCCACTATAACCGTTTGTAGTTTATTTTTCTCATTTTTATATAAATGTAGTATTTTACATTTTCTGTCAAAGTCATTAAAACTTCTCATATTGATATCATCTTCTAAGTTTTTGTTCGACATATTTTCGAAATAATTAATTCCAGTTATTTTGATTATTGGATTTGCAAATGTTTCCTTATCAATATCACAGTCATTTTTTAATTTAGGCATTAATATCTGCACTGCTTTGTCTACACTTTCTTCATTTAAACAGCTTATAATAAATTCATTATCATTTTTTAATAAAATTTTTTAGTTTGTATACATTTTTCTTTGATTAAATAACGCGATACATGCCGGTTAATTGTATCAATTTTTTCTTCTTTGTTACTTTTTTTAACAATTATTTTAGGTACTCGTTTAGGTCTGGCTTTGGCCTTAGCACTTATTTCAGCAAACGTGAATTCTAGCAGGTAATACATTTTTTTCTTTGTCGATTAATTCACGTAGCAATTAATTTTTTTCATTTATTTCTTTCTTAAGATTTTTTAGCAATCCATTTTCTAGTTTTGAAGTTTCATTCTCCGTTCGATCTTCGTACATTGTTGAAATGTGTTCCTTTTTTCTACTTTCAGTTTCAATTTCACTTATTATCTGTTTTTTTACTTCTTCATTTTGTTTCGATTTAATTTGTGATTTGACGATTTTAGCCTCATGGCTTAGTTAATTCTTACTTATTTTTGAGGTTGGAACATGCTCAGGGTATATTACGAAGACATTAGTTATGGCTTTAGTATTTTTTAATTGTTAAAAATCACTCGCATGATATACACTTTCACATATATTAAATATACTACGGCCTTCGACCTAGTCTTTGGATGACACTTAAAAGGAATATCTCCGAACGAACTCAGCAGACCATCACTCTGGTCCGCCATCGTATCTTATGAAGTTAATATACGAGGAGTGTTCAATGATGACTTGGACAATTTTTTTTAAAATTTTATTTTTGAAAATTACTCAACATCGATAGTATCTTGTCGAATGTACTTTTCCCACCGCTTCTGCCACTTTTCTTATACGTGCTGGAAGCCCTCTTCGGACATGTGCTTTAAAATCGTCTGTACAGCTGATAGGGCTGCTTCCGCAGAGTCAAATCTTCGACCTTTGATCTGGGTTTTCAACGTAGGGTACAGAAAAAAAGTTCACTGGGAGCCATGTCCGGGCTATAGGATGAGTGGGGTATCACCTTGATGTCCCGTTTTGCCAGGAAGTCCGTCACCCATCTCGCGTTGTCGTGATGAAGTTTCCACCGACCTTTAGTGAACGTAGGCCTCCTTCTTTGGATGTGTGGTGTGTATAACTTGATTTAGGAAACTAATATAGTATTCAGCATTCGACCGTCTGCTTGTTTGAAACAAAATTAGTGTACACAAAACCGTATTGATCGAAGAAAGTGATTATCATTGCCTTGGCGGCGCTCTTGTTTGCTCGCGCTTTTATCGGTGGCGGATCTCCTTTTGGGTCGCACTGAGTCGACGGATGCATATTGAACGAGACACGGCTTATTCACCTTAATCCTCACGAATCATGGCCAACGTTTCTGTCTGTGTTTTTTTGAGTTTAAAATAATATTTAATTGTCTACCGTTAATTTCTCAAATTTTCCTCCATCACAAGTATACAGGCGAAATTTTTCTACAATTTTTTAAATAAGTGTCACACACAAACTTTACATCGCACCATGACGAAAAAATACAACCAGAAGCGGAATGAAATGTACTTTCCAGCGGTACCGCGCCTCCACTGTTGCCAACCACGAAAAAAATTGTCCGAATCTTTATTCAACACTCCTCGTGTCTAAATGAAGAGAATACCCCGAACTTTTTTCAGGTAAATATTTCTGGATTTATTAGCATAGAGGTATTTATTTAACCAGGAGAGAGTTACAATTTAATTTGTTTATTATATAATTGCCTACTAATCGCGAATGTTAAGTGTGGTAGTGAATAATCACAGATTATTTTTGTGCTTGATTACAGTTTTTTGCCTAGATATTATGTGTATTCTATGGCGTCACGCATCCGGACATAAACATGTGGTTGTAAATCCGTTTCGTATTATTTCACGCTTGATGTATGTGTCAATAACTATTTCTGGAACACCTGCAAATTTGTCTTGGGTTAATGCATTGGAAGTAATTTCTTCGCCTCCAATTTAAGACCCCCTTCTTCCAAAACGATTTAAAAGGTCTATAAGTTGACACATCAGCAGGTTGTAATATTCGTGTAGAATTTCCGTAAAGGCAAATTAGAATAATATTCAGTATGTATTCAAAAAATAACTCAGCCTTCATCCAGTCATTCGAGCTTGTACCAATACCCCATGTATTTGGCATCGTAGTAGCAATTAAAGAAGGCAGACGTTTGTAGGGATAAGTATATAATAAACGGAAGAGTTATTTTCCTTTAACAGACAAGGTAATTTTGCTGGTGAATTTTGCTGGTGTATTATCAACCTCACACCGGTTCCTAGCTTCTTTAGATGCCAAAATTGTCTTGTAAACAGACGCAGCGTCTACAAGGTTTCATTTTGATCGATTGAGTATTTAAGACGTGATATTGATCATATTGGACTAACATTTTCTATTCTTGGGGAACATATTTTTTTTTTGGAGAAAAAGTACCCTGTGTCCTTCCTTGTACAAACTCACAGTCGGATTTATGATATGAGCTAGGATTAGATACTTGGTTTTTTTAATAATGTAATGTTCGTGGGTTTAACAAAATTAACTTTTAAGTCTGTTAACGACAAAAACTATTTATTTACACTAATTATTAAAGAACATAAATACACTATTAAATTATTACTAAATTTAGGTTATGAATTATTCTATTTATTTACACTACTGTTGATATATCACTATTCACTACGCTATTTATTTCACTGT